CCCCATGGGCGTGGTTTCCCTCTCCTGGGGCGTGGCTTCCCTCCCCAGAGGCGTGGCTTTCTCCCATGGGCGTGGCCTCCTTCCTTGGGGGCGTGACTTCCCTCCCCATGGGCGTGGTTTCCCTCTCCTGGGGCGTGGCTTCCCTCCTGGGGGCGTGGCTGTTTCTCCCTCGGGGGCAGTGTCCCCGGATTGAGGGGCAGAGGCCTGGAGCCCAGCGCCCCAAACCCGCATGGTCACCACCTCTGTCCAGTCCCGTGAGCCCTCCCCCCTCCCCCGTCCCCGGGAGCCGCCCCCCTCAGGGCAGGGTCCCCGCCGCACCCCAGCCCTCCGTCCTCACCTTCAGCCTCCTTCACCTCCTCCTCTTGTCTGTCGTCTGGACAGAACGAGAAACGTTAACCACGTCCTGACCCTAAGCTCAGGGTCCCCCTTGCTTAACCCTCCCCCCACCCCGGGCCCCAGGGCCCCACCTTCCGCGCCGGTCTGGGCCTGCGCCTGGCCCTCGGCCTCGCCCTCGGCCTCCTCCCCCGCCGCGGCCTCCTCCGTGGCCTCCTCCGTGGCCTCCTCCTCGGCGGCCTCCTCCTGCTCTGAAGGACAGGCGGGCGGGGGCACAGTGGGTGCCGGGCCCGCCTGCGCCTGCAGCCCCGGGGCCAGGGGGGCGGGTGTGGGGGTCACAGACCCAGAGCCCCAAACCCGGACCCCTGTTCCCTTAAATAGCGCAGCCGCTCACTCAGGCCCCGTCCGGCTGCAGCCAGGGGGGTGGCCACAACCCACAATAGTCCCTCCCGCCGGGGCGCCTGGCAGGGGGCAGCCAAGGTCAGGCGGCCAAGGTCAGGGGGCCAAGGTCAGGTGGATCCTGTGCAGGAGCCAGGGCAGTGGGAAGGGCTTCGCTCTGCTGAGGGGGAGGAGACAGAGACAGGCAGAGCAGAGGAGGAGGAGACAGGGAAATCTCAGCTCCTGGAGTTCTTCCCCCCCCCCTGCGCCCCACTGCCCTGACCCCTCCCTCTGCCCAAGCCCCGTACCTCCCACAGCTTCTTCTGCTCGGACCAGGTCACGGCCAGGAGAAAGGAGACAAGAGGTGGGTCAGTTTCAAACCGGGTGGCCCTCCATCCGTCCATGGCAATGAGGGTACAAGCGTGCGCTTACCTTCCTGCTCCCTGCAGCGCGGAGGGGATGCGGTCAAAGATGTGCGTGTGCACACACACTCACACACACTCACACATACCCATCCACCTGCCCCCAGGGTGGCCCCAAAGACAGGTGGGAGGGGCAGGTGGAGGGGGGACAGGGCGAGGGGACAGGATACTGACACTCACCCCTCGTACTCCTCCACCTCTTCCGCGTCGGACATGGTCTCTCTCTTTCCCTCCCTCCAAAAAAAGAGAGATGTCAGTGTGGGCCCAGGGCACCCGCTTCCTGGGACCGGCAGGGGGAGGAAGACGGTGGCTGCAACAGTATCCAAATCCCAAGTGTGGCTTTGCAACATTGTTGCAGAAATATTGCCATTTCTGCAACAAAGTTGCGAAGCACACACCCTGGAGCAGCCTCGTTTCTGACAAATGCTTGTCCCTCAGGCGTCCCCAGGCCCCGACTCTGCCCGGGACCCCGGGGAGCAGCCGGACTGGTGGCTTCGAACTGGGGAGGCTGCTCCCCAAGCTGGTGGGTTTGTGTCCCCCTCCCAGCCTGAGACACAGGATCTCAGCATCCTCTCTCCTCTCCTGCCCCACCTCCCCCCTGCTCGGAGCCCCTTGCCTGGGGTGCAGAGGAAGAGGGAGCCCTCCCGGCTCCCCAGAGCCCTACAAGCTCCCCAAAACAGCACGCCAGCCCTCCCCTCCCCCCCGGAAGGTGGGGGAGGGCTCTCAGACCAGGATGCAGCCGGGCCCTTGGCCCCAAGGCCGGACTGAAGAGGAGGCTGGGGCAGGCTGAGCCGGGGCTCCAGCCTGGGGGGCAATCAGAACCCCACCCTGAGCAGGTGTGATAATGTTCCCCAAACCCCTTCTCTCCCTCCCCCTCCCGCCCCTCCTGCCCCACAGCCCAGAGCTCAGGGTCCGTGTCCTTGGATACAGAAGCCAGAAGAATACTGGCCGTGAGGCCCAAAGGTGGGTTTTGAAAACCCAGTTTTTGCTGTGTGACCTTAGCTCAGCCTCGGTCAGCCGATCTGTAAAACGGACGCGCCTCGAGGTCTAATCCTGCGGAACAGCTGAGCTTCTGAGGAATGCGGCCCTTGTCCCCGACAGACACAGCTGGGACAGCCCTCCCTGCAGCTGTCAGCCCCCTCCCCGCCCCAGGGGGCAGGGCATAGGCGGGGGCGGGGGGGCGGAGGCTGGGGCAACTTGATCCTCACAAATGCCCCCTCGGCCCCAGGCCCCAGAGGAAGCGTCAGGAATGCGGGTGAAATTCCTGACCTTCCGGGCAATCCCCTTCCCCCACCCCCCACCCCCGAATATTTTCTATATTTTCTCCTCGGGCGCAGGAGAAGCTTGAAAACGAAGGGGATCTTTCCCTGCGGGCGTGTTGGGAGTGGGGGGAGCGAGGGGAGCTGGACTCAGGGGGGGCCCTCTAGCCCACCAGCTGGCTCACACGCCATGACCTGCCCCCCTCCCCGCCCGGCTCCCTGGACCACCTCCCCCAGAGGCCTGGCCCCTGGTGGAGGGAACTCGGACCTCCGTGCACTCCCACGGACGAGGCAGAGCCGGACGGATGGCTGGACGGACGGACGGACGGAGGGGCCAGGACGCCAGCCCCTGCCCGGCCTGTGCCCTCCACGCTTCTCTGCCTCAATGTCCCCACCCCACCCCCACCCCCACCGTCTTACCTCCGCACAGGAGCTGCGGGCAGCGCCGGACGAGGTGCCTCCTCTGCCGGGCAGGGACTGGGCGAGGGCAGGGCGGGCAGGGCTATAAGCTGGGGGGAGGGGGCTGGGCCTCTGGAGCAGAGGAATGTGGGGGGCGGGGTGTGGGGGAGCAGAGGAATGTGTGGGGTGGGGCGGGGTGGGCGGGGGGCTTGGGGGCTCGGTCAGCAGGTGCCCGGATGGGCTGACGGCTGGTGCTCGGACCATATAAGCCCATGTGGAGGTCCCGCTGCGGCCGGTCTATTTAAAACCCGGCAGGTCTGCCGGCGACAGAAGCCAGCCGTCCCGCTGACAGGCTGATAGGGCCGGTGCCAGAGCCGGCCTGGGACGGGGGCTGGGACTGGGGGACAGGGTGGGGGGCCAGAGGCTGCCCCACAACACTCCCGAGGGCCACGCTCGTTCTCAAGGCCGCTCCCGGCTGCCCCTCCCAGCCCAGCGGCCTGCTCGGGACCCCGGGCTGCGGCCCGTGAGGGTGTTTATCTGTGACCCCAGGCCCCGCCCCGGTCCCCTGCCCCCTGGAAGGGCCCCACGGGAGGTCAGGCGGGGAGAGCAAACTGGCAGGCGTGAGTGATGGCCCCGGGGACAGGCGGCCGGGTGTGGGGACCGCTGCTCCCCTCTGGGGGTTAAAATACAGCTCCCCGGCCGGTGTCACTCAGGAGGTGTCAGGGTTCGAGTCCCGGTCAGGACACAGGCCTGGGGTGTGGGCTCCATTCCCGGGCTGGGGCACGCAGGAGGCAGCGGGTCTGTGGTGCTCTCTCGTCATGGATGTGTCTGTCTCTCTCCCTTTCCCGCCCTCCCAGGAATCAGTAAGCATCTGTTTGCAAATAATAACAATTAAATGAAGCTGTGATCTGCTGAGCCTGCTGGGCCCTGCTGAGACCCAGGGCCGGGCCGGGACTCCTGTCTGCTGGCCGCCGGTCAGGGGGGACGGGGCCCTGCCCCAGCCCTGGCCCCAGGGTCCCCTGTTGACTCCCGCTGTCTGCTGGCCGCTGGTCATGGGGGACGAGGCCCTACCCGCAGCCCTGGCCCCGCGGCCCCCAGCTGCTTTTTAATACATTTTTATTGAATGTCCAGGAGCTGGTTTGGCCCAGGACCTCCATGCGCCCAGGGGCCTCAGCGCTGGGGACGGAATGGGGAGAGTGTGTGTGAGGGGGGCTGGCAGGTCTGCCCCCAGAATCACGACGGAGGACGATAGGACAGAACCCACCTTCATGTGAGGAAGACGATGATGGGCCCCTCCCCCCCCAGGCAAAACAATCCAAACGCACCCCTCCCCCCATACCACACACACACACACACACACACAACCCCACACACATACACACACACACACACCACACACCACACACACATATGTGCACACCACACACACACACATCACACACACACAACCCCACACACACACACACACACCACACACCACACACACACACACACACCATAAACACACACCCCCCACACACACACACACACACACCCGTGCAGATGCCCCGTAGAAGGCGCCGGGCTGCGGCTCCCAGTCACAGACACCAGAGTGAGTTTATTGGTTGTTCCTGAGCTCAGAGGGGCAGAGGCGGGCGAGGCGGCGGGAGGGCAGGGACTGCACAGGGACCAGTGAGGGGCCCGGGGCGGGGAGGGCGGTGCTGGGGGGGACGGATTCGGGGGGACCTTGGGGGGCCTGGCCCCGTAGCAGCCGGAGCCCGAGGCTCCTCGGGGACAGGACCCACAGGCGGAGGGCGGCCGGCCCCGGCGCGGCTGTGCCCGCGGTGGGAGCCTGGCACCGCCCGGGGCTGCCTGAGAGAGAAGGAGCCGCCAGAACCCAGGCCCAGAGGCAGAAAGGGTGTGGACAGCGGGAGGCGAGGGCGCAGCTGTGGACAGACGGACGGACGCAGGCCTGGCGCGAGGGAGGCGGGACTTCAGCTGCCGCTCACATCACACCTGCGGGACAGACCTGTCAGCGAGGGAGGGTGCTGGGGGGAGGGGTGTGCACAGGAAGGCACACCCTCACCCTCACCCACACCCCCATACCCATACCTCAGGCCCCTCACCCACCCACACCTGCCCCCAGATCCCCACTCACATACCCACACCCCACATCAGCACCCTCACCCACACCCAGACAGGCCCAGCCCCTCGTCTGTGGGACTGGAGGGAGCAGAGCTCTCAGGGATAAGGGGGTGCAGCCAACTGGGCCTCTGCCGGGGCTTGTGGTTGGGGCACCCCAGCCTGACAGCAGGACCAAGGCATTCTGGGTACTCGGACTGGGCGACTGCAGGCCAGTTAGTGTGTGCGGGGCCGGGGCGGGCGAGGGGCGGGCGAGGGGCGGGCACAGGGCAGGCCAGGGGTGTGGGGCGCCCCCTCCGTCGCCCTCACCTCGGCATCCATGGTGGAGCCCCCTCTCTTCACCCACGAGGTCCGACTGGTGGCCGCCACCTCCTTCTTCGCCTCCTGCTTGGGGCATCGGCGAGGGGAGAGGGACTGAGGGCCTGCAGGGGGGCTCGGGGCCCCGCCCTTCCCCGTCCAGCGGCCCCTCTCTCTGCGTCCCCCCTCCCCACCCACAGGCCTCTGCCCAGCCCCAGCACCCACCCCTGGAACCCCCTTCACGCCTGGCCCCCGGCCCGCGGTCAGGGGCCGGGCTGGGCCGTACCGGGGGGTCCGGGTCCCCCGACTCCTGAGTCCGGCTGATCCACAGGTTGAGCCGAGAGGTCACCACCCCCGAGAGCTTCAGGTTGTCCTGAAAGAGGGGCTCCGTCGGGGGGGGCCAGGCCAGAGCCCCCCAAACCCCCAGCAGCACCCCATAGACCTGAGGGTCACTGACACCCCCCCTCTCCACCTCCCTCCCCCCGGGAGCTGCAGGCACCGGGCTCAGGCCCCAAACGGTGACTCAGGTCAACAGCAGCTTCGGCCAAACTGGACACACGCACCCGGCCGGTTGGCTCCGGGGTGGAGCGTCCACCTTTGAGCCAGGAGGTCAGGGTTCGATTCCCATCGGGGCCCAGGCCCGGGGGCGGCTTGGTCCCAGGGTGGGGGCGTGCGGGAGGCAGCGGTCCGCGATGCCCTCTCCTCCTGGATGTCTCTCCCTCTCCCTCCCCGAGACCCACAGGAACATCTCTGAGTGCGGCCCTCACCCTGCGGCTGGCGGGCTCTGCCCGGCCCGGCTCCCGGCCCCCCGGGGCCCCCGGCTCCTTCTCGAACAGGTGCCGCCGGCTGGCCACGCCCACGGGCGCCACGAAGACCTCCGTGCGGGCGGAGCCGGGGGCCTTGACGGACACGGAGCGCTGGGGAGAGAGAGAGCATGGCTGACCAGGCGGCGCCAGGGGGCCGGGCAGCCCACACCCTCCCCTCACCGTCCCCCTCACCGTCCCCCTCACCGTCCCCCTCACCGTCCCCCTCCTCCTCACTGTCCCCCTCCCCCTCACCGTCCCCCTCACCCTCATCGTCCCCCTCACGGTCCCCCTCTCCCTCACCATCCCCCTCACCGTCCCCCTCACCGTCCCCCTCCCCCTCCCCCTCCCCGTCCCCCTCACCGTCCCCCTCACCGTCCCCCTCATCGTCCCCCTCACCCTCACCGTCCCCCTCACCGTCCCCCTCACCGTCCCCCTCCCCCTCACCGTCCCCCTCCCCCTCACCGTCCCCCTCACCGTCCCCCTCACCGTCCCCCTCCCCCTCACCGTCCCCCTCACCGTCCCCCTCCCCCTCACCGTCCCCCTCCCCCTCACCGTCCCCCTCACCCTCACCGTCCCCCTCACCCTCATCGTCCCCCTCACCGTCCCCCTCACCGTCCCCCTCACCGTCCCCCTCACCGTCCCCCTCACCGTCCCCCTCCCCCTCACCGTCCCCCTCACCGTCTCCCTCACCCTCACCGTCCCCCTCACCATCCCCCTCCCCCTCACCATCCCCCTCACCGTCCCCCTCACCGTCCCCCTCTCCCTCACCGTCCCCCTCACCGTCCCCCTCACCCTCACCGTCCCCCTCACCGTCCCCCTCACCGTCCCCCTCCCCCTCACCGTCCCCCTCCCCCTCACCGTCCCCCTCACCGTCCCCCTCACGGTCCCCCTCCCCCTCACCGTCCCCCTCACCGTCCCCCTCCCCCTCACCGTCCCCCTCCCCCTCACCATCCCCCTCACCCTCACCGTCCCCCTCACCCTCATCGTCCCCCTCACCGTCCCCCTCACCGTCCCCCTCACCGTCCCCCTCACTGTCCCCCTCACCGTCTCCCTCACCCTCACCGTCCCCCTCACCATCCCCCTCACCCTCACCGTCCCCCTCACCATCCCCCTCCCCCTCACCATCCCCCTCACCGTCCCCCTCACCGTCCCCCTCTCCCTCACCGTCCCCCTCACCGTCCCCCTCACCCTCACCGTCCCCCTCACCGTTCCCCTCACCGTCCCCCTCACCGTCCCCCTCACCGTCCCCCTCACCCTCACCCTCCCCCTTTCCCTCAGGCCCCCCCAGCCCTGCCCGTCCTGCCCCGCCCCCCACCTGGATGGCCGTGTGGTATCGCTCCAGCTTCTCGCCTAACTTCACCGGGAGCCTCACGCTGGCACTGCCGGCAGAAGGACGGACGGGGTGAGCGACCAGGTGAGGCCCTGCCCCCTGCCCCCCGCAGACCGGGGGTGCACACCTCCCCTCCCCCGGCCCTCCCCACCCCCTGCCCCCCTCCTCCACTCCGGCCCAGTGACCCCCGAAACCCCCTTCGTCACATGCTCGTGTTCCCCGAGCTAGACGTGGCAGGCTCGTCACACTCAGCCTTCCGCGGGCCCCACCTCCCCCCACCCCCCAGGCAAGAGGCACCCCCACTTCCTGTCTGGAAATCTTGAGGTCCACTCGGAGTCGGCTGCTGCCCCAGACACAGCCCCCAGCCCCCGGGGCCGACGCCTCCCCCTTCCTGGGTATCCATCCAGCCTCCCGGCCACGCTGGGGTCCTGGGCGAGAGCGTGGCCCCCTGTGTGCCCCCCACCACGCGCCCTGTGGCTCGGCAAACAGGCTGACTGTGACCGTGACCCCAAGGAGAGCCAGGCCCTGACCTGCGGGTGAGGGTGGACTCCGCGTTGTTGATCCGGGGACTCATCTGGAAGGAGAGAGAGAGACACCGATGAGCGATGAGCGTGGGTGGCAGGGGGTGTCCCGGGAGGCCACAGCCCCCTCCAGGGCGGGGCCCCATCGCAGGCACCTCCTCCTCCCTCCTCCCACCTCCCACCTCCCACCCCCACGGCTCGGCTCTCCGCCAAGCCTCTGTGACGGTCCCCCCGTGTCCAGCAGACACCTGCCCCCGGCCGGCCAGCCTGGGGGAAGCCTCTCCTTGGGCCCCTGTAGGTGTTTGGGGGGTACCTGCCACCCCCTGCTGTCCTGTCTGCCTCCCCACCCCCACCCCCATTGCTCATGAGCCCCGGGGGGGCCTCCAGCTTTCTTCCTGCAGTTCCCAATTTCACCCCCAGGTGGGGCTGCTACTGTGTGTCCATACATATCCACCTTACAATGCCCCAACCCAGCGGTGGGCAAACTCATCCGTCCACAGAGCCAAACGCCAACAGCACAACGATGGACACGTCTCTGGAGAGCCACGTTTTTTAAACTTAAACTCCTTCTGATGCCACGTCTCCCACACAGACTCGCCCAGGCCCTGGTCTTTTGTGGAAGAGCCGCCCTCCAGGGGCCCGAGAGCCGCGGTTTGCCTGCCCTCCTGTAACTCCACCTCCTCTGCAGGGGCGGGGGGGGGGGCCCAGGGGAACCCCAGGCCCGCTCTGTCCTCCTGGTGTCGGACCCAGGACCTTGGCTGGTGACAGAGGCTGGTGCCCCGGCCGGGCCCACATGGATGGGCCAGCGGGTGCCGCCCGAGGCTCACCCGGAAGGAGATGGTCCGGGGGCTGGACCTGCGGAGGGAGCTGCTGTAGGTGGTCCCGGCGGGCGAGAAGGCGTCATCCTCCTCCTCCCCCTCCTCCTCCTTCTTGCTGGGAATCTTCACCTGGACGAGGGGGCTCGTCACACAGGCTGGTCACCCCCAGCTGCCCTCCCCTGCAGGCTGATCACCCCCAACTGCCCTCCCCCTTGCAGGCTGATCACCCCCAACTGCCCTCCCCTGCAGGCTGATCACCCCCAACTGCCCCCCCCCCTTGCAGGCTGATCACACCCAACTGCCCTCCCCTGCAGAGCTGATCACCCCCATTGCCCTGCCCTGCAGGCTGATCGCCCCCATTGCCCTCCCCTGCAGGCTGATCACCCCATTGCCCTCCCCTGCAGGCTGATCACCCCCAACTGCCCCCCCCTGCAGGCTGATCGCCCCCATTGCCCTCCCCTGCAGGCCCGTCACCTCCGGCTGCCCTCCCCTGCAGGGCTGATTGCCCCCATTGCCCTCCCCTGCAGACCTTATCGCCCCCAACTGCCCTCCCTGGCCACCACGGGCCCAAGCCCCGGCCGCCCCAACAGGGGGCAGCCCAGAGCCCAGCCCATCCAGGGAACTGCGGGAGGAAGGGGGGGGCCTCGGGGGAGGTCCTGGTCTGCCTCTGCTATGGGGATGGGAGACACGGCTCCCTGGAGCCCGGCCGCCAGGCACAGCTGCTGGGGGACTTCCGGGGGGGGGGAACCCCGAAATCCAGGGCCTGGGTGAGGGAGGATTCGCTCCCGTGACCCAGCGGATGCCCCTGCCCTGGGGTCCCCCTGTTCTGATGGTGACGGGGAGCAGGGAGAGAGAGAGAGGACACGGCCCCAGCCAGCCTGAAGCTGGGGGACGGGAGACGGCCAGGGGGCCACGGCACCGGGGTAGGACTGGGGTGGGGCTTCTGCCCACCTGGAGGGTGATGGGCGGGAGGCGGGAGGCCACGGTGCGAGGGGTGCACACCCCCGGCTCTGCGGAGGGCAGGCGGCCGAGGACCCTGGCTCTCTGGCTCTCCCCGGCCACCGGCTGCTTTTCCTGGGCCTTCTCCTTAGGCTGAGGCTGCTCCTCTGGCGGAGGCTCATCCCCAGGCTGAGGCTTCTCCTTGTGCCGAAGCCGATCCTCGGGCTGAGGCTTCTCCTCGGGCTTCAGCTCATCCTCCGGCTGAGGTTTCTCCTTGGGGCGAGGCCGATCCTGATGCTGAGGCTTCTCCTTGGGCTGCAGCTGCTCCTTGGGGTGAGGCTTCTCCTTGGGCCGAGGCTGCTCCCCAGGCTGAGGCTGCTCCTCCTTCTTCTTGGGCGGAGGCTTCTCCCGGGCCTGGGGCTGCTCCCCGGCCTGGGGCTGCTCCATGGTCCTCCTGGGGACCCTCGTTGTCTCGGAGACCCTCGCCCTCTCGAAGATCTGTGCTTTCTCCGACACCCGTCCCCTCTCCGCACCCGCCGCCTTGCCCGGGGGGGCCTGCTGCTTCTCGGGGGGCCCCCCGCTGGCCGGCCTCGGCCCTCTCTCCCAGGCGTCCGTCTTCGCCAGCACCAACCTCCGCTCGGGGACGGGGGTCTCCTCGGGGCCCGGCCTCAACTCCGGGGGCTTCTCCGGGCGGGGGGGCTGCTTCTCCGGGCTGGGGGGCTGCTTCTCTGCGGCCGGGGGCTTCTCCGGGCCGGGGGGCTGCTTCTCTGTGGCCGGGGGCTTCTCCGGGCCGGGGGGCTGCTTCTCTGCGGCCGGGGGCTTCTCCGGGACCCCCCTCCGCCTGGCCCCGGGCTCTCGGGGGGCCACGCCCTCCTCCGCCGGGGCCCGCGGTGCCTGCTGCTCCCGGCTCAGTCTGCGGGGCGCGGGGGTGAGGGACGGCCCCGGGCTGTCCCCTGCGCCCTCCTGGGCCTCCAGCCGCTCGCCGAGGGGGGCCTGGGCGGCCTCCGCCCCCTGCCGCCGCTGCCTCCGCTCTCGCCGCGTCCTGAGGATGGCCTGCACCTCCTCGGCCTCATCCTCGGGGGCCGCGGGCGGGGGTGCGGGCACCTCGGCCTCCTCCACGCTGGGCAGCCTGGGCCAGAAGATGGGGGGAGGGAGGGTCAGCGGGCGTGGACACCCCACACCCCACCGTCACTCAGATGAGGGTCACATCCGGGGCGTCCGACATGGCCTTCCTACAAGTCACCCCATCCGGCCAGCATGGCTCAGTGGTGAGCATCAGCCTTGGAACCAGGAGGTCAGGGTTCGGTTCCCAGTCAGGGAACAGGCCCGTGTTGGGGGCTCCATCCCCACTAGGGGGCGTGCAGGAGGCAGCCGATCCATGATTCTCTCTCATCCTGGATGTTTTTCTCTCTCTCTCCCTTCCTTCTCTGAAATCAATAAAAATTTTTAAAAAATAGGGGGACATTGGGGACACCCTGGGCCCCAGTCTTCCTGGCCCTCACACCCCAAAACTGGCTGGCCAGACCAGCCTCCCCTTAGAAGGGGATTGGAGCCAAGACAGGTGTGGCTCCGTGGATAGAGCATCGGCCTGCAGACTGAAAGGTCCCGGGTTCGATTCCGGTCAGGGGCATGGACCTTGGTTGCGGGCACATCCCCGGTGGGGGGCGTGCAGGAGGCAGCTGGTCGATGTTTCTCTCTCATCGACGTTTCTAGCCCTCTATCTCTCTCCCTTCCTCTCTGTAAAAAATCAATAAGATATATATATATTTTTTTTAAAAGAAGGGGATTGGAGAGCCCGAGGCTGGGGGCGCAGGCTGGGTCAGTGGGGGCCGCACAGGCACAGAGCCTGGCAGAGTGGACGGAAGCCCCCGCCCTGCCCCTCCGGGGGGTCGCCCTCCCGGTGGACGCTCTGCCGCCGTGTGTGTCCGTCCACCTGGGAATGGGTGCCGGTCTTGGGGGGGAATGTAGGACGGAGGGGGTCCTGTCCGGTGGGGACCGAGGGGGACCAGACCTGCCTCTTCGCGCCCCGAGCCGCCCCCTGAGACCTCTCCCGGCGGAGGAGGCGCCGCAGGGCCCGGCGCACCCGCCGCCTACGCACCCGCCGCCCACGCACCTGTCGGAGGCCGGCCGCCCGCCGTGGGGGGTGGGCGGGGCGGGCGGGGCGGACCGGGCCGCCTGCTCGTCCTCGGACGCGGAGCTGAAGTTCCGGTGGCGGCGCCGGCGCTCCCGCCGCTGCTCCTCCTCGTCCTCCAGGCTCCGCTGCTGGGCCAGGCTGCGGGCGGGGAGAGGGGGCGGTCAGCGAGGCCTCCCCGGGGCGCCCTCTACGGTGGCCACGGGCGCTGCGCCCACGTGCAGTCTGTGCAGATAACACACTGAGTGTGGGGAACGGCCAGTGTCGCTCAGTGGTGAGCGTCAGCCTATGACCCAGGAGGTCAGGGTTCGATTCCCGGTCAGGGGCACACGCCCGGGCTGTGGGCTCCATCCCCAGTGGGGGGGGGGGGGGGGGCGGGGAGGGCGTGGCAGGACGCAGCCGGTCCAGGATGCTCTCTCATCCTGGATGTTTCTCTCTCTCTCTCTCTCTCTTCCTCACGGAAATCAATTAAAATGCATTTTAAATGAAATTTACTATATAAAAAGAGCACAGCTGATCAAAAGGAACAGAAGCTCCGTCCCAGGACAGAATCTCCAAGCCAAACGCCAGGAAAGGGTGCTGGGCGGGCTGGCCCACCCCCAGAGGGGGGCGCCCCCTCCCCGGAGCCCACAGCGGCAGCCGGGGGGCACCCTGAGAGCCTGGGGCTCCCCGCCCAGGACAGGCGGGGCCGAGGGCGGGCAGCAGCCGGGAGAGCCGGTTTGGGGAAACCCAGTGGCCAGCCCACTGACCTCCGAGCTCCAGGCCCGGCCCAGGGAGGGGCCCGGGTTCCCAGCATCGGGGGCCCAGCCACGCTCACCGGCGCCGGCCACTCCTTCCCCTGACACCCCTTCCTCGCTCCCCCTTCATTCGGGGCCACGCACCCCGCTTGGCTGCCTTGTAGGGATGTGATCCCAGCTGCTCTGGGTAAAGGAGGGGCCGGTGTGGCTCAGGGGTTGAGCCTCGACCTATGACCCAGGAGGTTGGGGTTTGATTCCCGGTCGGGGCACAGGCCCGGGTTGCAGGCTCCATCCCCAGTGGGGGGCGTGCAGGAGGCAGCCGGTCCATGATCCTCTCTCACCATGGATGTTTCTATCTCCCGCTCCCTCTCCCTCTCAGAATGAATAAAAGCATGTTTTAAAGGAGGAACAGACAGCCGCTGGCTAAGTGACCTTGGGCCAGTCCTCAGCCCCTGAGGGTTGCACACCATAAGGGTCCCCCATGGGGGTCCCCAAGGCCCCTCCTGGCCGGGGGGCTCTGGGGACAGGTGTCGGGGAGCCCGGGGGCGGCCCCTGGGGGGGAGGGTGCAGGGGGGGAGACCTGAGGGGGGTGGGCAGGACAATGATTAACCAGGCACTGCTGGGCCGGAGTTCTCAGATCCACCTTCACCCCCCGCAGCCGGCCCGGCCCAGCCTCGCCCACGACGGGCGGCCAGGAGGAGAGGCCAAGGCTGCTGACCAGGCACCCCGCCCGCGGCTGGCCACGGCCCCCTCACCGGGCCGGAGTGTCCGAGTTCCACCCTGTGTGGGGAGCGGCAGGAGGGCCCCCCGCTCCCCGCTCCCCGCTCCCCGCTCCCCACAGGGGCCACACACCTCCCAGCCTCCTCCCGGCTCCTCCCAGTTCCCAGCTGAGTGCCTCAGGGCCCACTCCGCACCCCACCCCTGCCCCCCACCAGCTGCAGAGGCTTGTTCCCCAGCAGGATAGCAGCTGGGAGCCGTGGCAGCTGCCCCCGGTGGTGCTCCGAGGGCCGAGGCTGGCGGGGCTGGCAGGGGTGGGGGGCGGAGTGGGCCCTGAGTGGGGCTGGCAGGGGGCAGGGGGCAGGGGGCCCGTCCAGGATGCCTCCGCAGCCGCCCTGGGCCCCGTGGGGATGGGCCCGCCCCTGTGCCAGCCGGACGGCTCCCTCTGAGCGGGACAAGCTCAGCCGACCGACCGACCCCGTGCCCGGGGAGGGCGCAGCGCCCACCATGGACACACACACACACACACACACACCCCGGCAGGCGCCTGGGAGGCGGGTCTGGTTTGGCGTTCTAACTCGGCAAAGCACGGTCCACACGCAGACGGAAACGCCACGTCCCCGGCTCAGCACCCGCACAGACACCTGCTCCCTCCACAGGCTACAGACACGCTTGCACACACATGTGAGCACGTCTCTGCAGGCACAGATAGGCCTGCTCCACATGCCATAAGCATGTCTGCACTGTGTGAGAGCATGCACCTGGAAGCACAGACACACCCACTCCACGGGCCACAAACGCGCCTGCACACGTGTGTGAGCACCCAGGCAGAGGCACGAGTATCCCCACTCCACAGGCCAGACACGCCTGCACACGTGTGTGAGCACCCATGCAGAGGCACGAGTATCCCCACTCCACAGGCCAGACACGCCTGCACACGTGTGTGAGCACCCAGGCAGAGGCATGGAGATGCCCTCTTCACATGCCACAGACAGGCCTGCACACGTGTGTGGGCGCCCCTGCAGGGCACAGGTCTGCCCACGGGGAGGGCGGGACACACCCGCGCGCGGCCCAGGCAGGGTGACCCACAGGCAGAGTCCAAGGCCATGCGGCCGCCCCGCCCGCATACCTCCCCTGGGGTGTGGCCGCCTCTGACAGCCGGCGGCTCCCCCCAGCCGGCTCCTGCCTTCCCGGCCTCGCTGCCCACGGGCTGCCTGCGCAGGTGTGTCCCCCGGCTCCGCCCAGTGAGGGGCTGGGGGAGGCAGAGCCCGAGACCCCAGATCTCCGTAGCCCCGCCCCCAAGAGGAGGGGGAGGGGATGGGGAGCCGGGCGGCTCAATGGGAAAGGCCTGGGAGGCACACACAGCTGTTAGCACCCCGGCCCTCCGGCCGGTTAGAGCCCGGGTCGGGAGGAGGGGCCTGGGTCCGAGGCACTCTGCTGGGGGGAAGGAGGGGTAGGGGCACCGGCGCACTGGTGGGTGGGGTGGGGGGCCGACGGTGGGCAGGGCAGCTCCGAGAGGGGTCCCCCCAGCAGGGGTGCTGCCTCAGGAGCCAGCCCCACTTCTCTGCGCCTCTGAGGGCTCCCCTCCCAAAGGAAGCTGAGAACAGAGAGGGACTGAGTCTGCCCGGAGGCGGCCCAGCCCCGAAGCTCCCAGAATGCCGTGCTCAGACCGGGAACTCCTCAGCCCTGGGGATGGCTCCCATGTCCCTCTCCCTCCCGCCCCCTCCCCCTGCCCGGGACAGTCCACCATCCGCCCAACCCCAGCGGTGAGGGTGAGGCGGACTGCGCTCCGGGCCCCAGGCTGAGCCACTCCAGGCCCCCAGAGCTGGGAGGTGCGGTGGAGGGGGGTCCCCAGGCCAGGGACCAGCCCCGCCAAACCCCCAGTGTGGCCTCAGCCCCCAAGGGGAGCACAGGAGGCCGAGGGAGAGCGGAACCCCACCCTGTCCCGAGGGTTCCCCAGCAGTGTGGCCCCAGTTCTGCTCCCGGAGGAGCCTTGGGGGGCCAGGCCGACCTTGGGGGGCCCCGCGCCCGCACCCCGCACCCCGCGCCCCGCGCCCCCCTTTCCGGCCCCGCGCCCCCCGCCCCGCGCCTCCCTTTCCGGCCCCGGCCCCGCGCCCCCCCGCCCCGCGCCCTCCTTTCCAGCCCCGCGCCCCGGCCCCGGCCCCGCGCCCCGCGCCCCCGCCCGCTACCCCAGCCCAGCCCCGCGCCCCGCGCCCGGCCCCGGCCCCGGCCGCTCACCTGGACAGCGCCGACCAGTCCTTCCTGCCCGACATCCCGCCGCTGCCGCCGGCTCCCGGCCGCTCACCTGCGCGCTCCCCGGCCGGTCCGGTCGCCGGTCCCCGGTCCCTGATTCGCCGCCGGGAGCGCCCCGGGGGGTGGCTCCCCGCAGGTCCCGCCCGGTCCCGCCCCGGCTCCGCTGGACCCGCCGCCGGAGGAGGAGGCGGCGCGGGGCCAGTGCGGGCGGCGGGGGCCGCTTCCTGCCCGGAACCAGTCGGACCAGCTCGGGGCGGGGCGCTCCGCGCAGGTGCCGGGGCGGCCGGGGCGCCGGGCGGGGCGGGCCCGCGGGGCCGGGTCAGACTCCGCCGAGGGGACCCCTGGGCGGGACCGGGGGGTTGGGGGAACCCCCGGGGTCTCCAGGGTCTGGGGGGAACCCCGGGGTCTGCGGGGCTGGGGGGTGGAACCCCCAGGGTCGCGGGGGGCGGGGAGGAACCCCGGGGTCTGGGGGGTGGGGGTGGAACCCCCAGGGTCGCGGGGGGCGGGGAGGAACCCCGGGGTCTGGGGGGTGGGGGGGAACCCCCCGGGGTCTGGGGGGAACACCCCTGGTCTTGGGGGGCCGGGAGGAACCCCCGGGGTCTCTGGGGGTTGGGGGGCCTGGGGGGAACCCCCGGGGGCGGGGGGGGGGGCTGGGGTGCCCAGGGCACAGACCCGAGGTGGGGGCTCTGTCCCGGCGCCGGCGCCGGGGCTGGACTTTGGCGGAGGCGCGGGTGTGGGAGGCCCGGCTTCCCCCCCCCGGAGGGAGCGCACCCGGGAGCTGGGCCTAGATCTGGGGCCACCTGAGGCCACTCACACCCGGCTCCACCCGGCCCCCCGCCTGCCCGCTGGGCCCGGGTGCGGCTGCTCCTGCCCGCACCGGCCTCTCAGGGGGAACAGCGTCCTCCCTGGGACCAGGGCTGCGAGGCCGGTCACCTGGCCAGCGAGGAGCCAGGCACAGCCCCGGGGTCCCCCCCCTGAGAGGCCCCCCATGAGCAGGGGCCAGGAGAGGCCTGAGCATCTGCTGCCTCCAGGGGAGGAGAGGAAGGAGAGGGAAGAGGACCCGCCCGGGGCCCCTCCGTGAGGCCCGGGGACAGGCCGTACCCAGCAGGCGGTTAGGGCCGTGGTGGGCAAGCTCCTGAGTCAGCAGAGCCCGATACCAGCAGCACAGCGGCTGGCATTTCTTCGGAGAGCCAGTGTTTAAACGTAAACTCCTTCTCACGCCAGGGGTTGAGCATCGACCTCTGAACCAGGAGGTCGAGGTGGGATTGGAGGTCAGGGCCATGGTGGGGAGAGGCCTCCGAACGGGGACATTCCCGGTGACGTGCTCCCCGTGTTAACCAGACCACGCTCACTTCCTGGGGGAGCCCGCGGAGACTCCGGTCACAGGAAGTCCCTGGACTTCCCAGCCCGCAGCCCCAAGGGGTCACTCCCTGCCCCCAGGACGGACCACAGGCTCTGGAACTCCCGGCTGCTCCTTCCCCGAGGCGGCCGCTGGGGGTGCGGGGATCCCCGGCCCCAACCAGCTGGGGTGGGAGTCACATGGGACAGCCAGGAGCCCTCCCCCCACACACAGACAGACCCATGCACACACACACACACATTCACACAGATACACACACTCACACACACACACAGAGGCACACACCCACACACACTCACACACACACACACACACACTCACACACACACTCACACACACACACTCACACACACACACCACACACTCACACACACACACACACACACACACACACACTCACACACACACTCACACACACACACACACACACACACTCACACCTCCCGGGGCTCCCAGCTGGGAACACCTGCCCTGGCCCCCAGGTGAGGCCCAACTTCTCCCCGGAACCCGGAGCACAGAGCCGGGGGGGAGTGGAGGGGGGAGTGTCAGGGCTGGGCCAGGACCTGCCCCAGCCCCGGCCCCGGCCCCGGCCCCGGGCCTCGGCCTCTGGCTGGGACCGAGCTCCGCCCACACCCAGTGCCTCCGGGGCCTGCATCTTTGTCCCGGTTTGGGTCTGGGACCTTGTCTTTTGGTTTTTGTTGTTGTTGTTTTTTTTTTCTTAAATATATTTTATTGATGTTTTACAGAGAGGGAGGGAGAGGGAGAGAGCGAGAAACATCGATGAGAGAGAAACACCCATCAGCTGCCTCCTGCACGCCTCCACCTGGGGATGTGCCTGCAATCAAGGTCCAGGCCCTTGACCAGAACCGAACCCGGGACCCTTCAGTCCGCAGGCCGGCGCTCTATCCACTGAGCCACACCGGTTTTGGCTGCGATTGTGTTGGGGTATATATATATATATACATATATTACTGACATCAGAGAGGAAGGGGGAGGGAGAGTGAGAGGAACATCCGTGATGAGAGAGCATCATGGACCGGCTGCCTCCTGCACACCCCCTATGGGGGATGGAGCCCGCACCCCGGGCGTGTGCCCTGACGGGGAATCGAACCCTGACCTCCTGGCTCCTTGGTCGGCGCTCCGCCCCGGAGCTGCAGCAGCCGGGCCGGGCTGGGTCTGTGACCTCCAGGAGCCGCTGTCCCTCTGGACCAGCCGGCCTTGCCTGCAGCGCTGGACCCGCCGCTCGGCCCAGGCCCAGGGGACCCCAGGCCGGCTCAGGAGGGCGGTGTGGGAGCCAGGGCCTGGCCCTCACATCCGTCAGCCGGCTGCGGGGCCGGGGCCGGCGGGAGAGCCCGGCTGGGCCTGGAGAGGCTGCCGTCCGTCTGTCCACCCGGGTCCCGGCCGCCCGGCTGGGCTCGGCAGCTGCTCACCCACCCGGAGCGAAGCTGCCCCGCCCCCCGCTGTCCAGCCGGAGTCTGCGGGGAGTCCGACAGGCTGCGCGGGGGGCCACTGGGGCTAATGTTTAACCGGCTCCCTCCCCGTCCGGCACTTTAGCCCCGGCCGCCCTGGGCGGGGGGCAGGAGGGGGGCGGACACTGGGAGACGGGGCCAGACGGACGGTGCTCACACCTGGCTCCCCCGGCTGAGGATGGGGCAGTGTGAGGGGGGCTGCCGCTTGCAGGCAGGGCCGTGGCGGGGGCACCAGGCCCGGCGCCGGCTGCTCCCGGCCGCTCTGTGCCTGGCTTTGCCGTGGACGCCCCGTGGTCCACGCAGGGGCCACGGGAGCCGGCTGGGCTGGCCCCGCGGGGAAGCAGGAGGCACGGTGGCATTCCCGAAACGGCCCGGGCCCTGGGCGTGGGCCGCCAGCCACACCCCCTGCGCCCACGGGCTCTGCACCGGGTGTTTGTTTTGAGTCAGGCCGGGCGGTCTCCCATTTTGTAGGGCAGGGCGGGCGCCCCAATCCGTGGCGGGGGCCCCCATCCCCGGGTGACGGGGCGAGGGGGGCAGCGCTGAGATTTGGCTCTGGGACTTGGTGCCCAGAAAGCAGGAGGCGGGGCTGGGGACCCCGGCCGGCGGGGAGAGCCGGGGGGCAGGGGAGAGGGCTGCCTGGGCCCGGGGCCCCGCCCGGCTCCTCCGTGGCTCGGAGGGAACGCCCAGGGGTGCGTGGGTGGGTGGGCGGGTGGCACGGGGCAGGCGGGACAGGTAAGGTAGGAATTGCGCCTGCATTGGTGCCCGCTGAGTGTTTGTGTGTCTGGCGTGTCCTCATGGGGGTAGTTTTCCACTGGCGTTTAGAGAGAGAGCAGAGAGGGCAGGGGAGACACGAGAGAGGGAAACCTCGATGGGAGAGAAACTGGGGAGGTTGCCTCCCCTGCGTCCCCCGACGGGGGCTGGGGGGGGTCAAGCCTGCAACCAAGGTGCGTGCTCTTGACTGGAATCGAACCCGGGACCCTTCTGTCCCCAGGCCCGCCACACTCCACCCACTGAGCCACACGGGCCAGGGCCCACTGAGCTGTGGTAGCAGGAACCGGGGGACGCCACGCCCCTTCTGCCCCCATCTCCCCCCCACACATCCGGGCGCCAGACCCTGCCCTGGGAAGAGCTGGCGCTGCCCTTTGCCCTGGCTGCTGGCGTTTATGGCAGACAATTCGCCGGGGCAGGGGGCAGGGGGCAGAGGGCAGGACGGGGACGGGCGGGCGGGGGGGTCGAAGGGGGGCCCTCCTCTGCTGGGTCAGAAAGCCAGCCCCCCACACCCCCGTAATGGGGACCAGACACCTCCTTGTGGCTCCCCTCAGCCGGCCGAGCGCAGGTGCTGAGAGCCGGGGCGGGGGACGCTGCCCAGGCCCCCATCCAGCCCTGCGGGCTGGCATCCTCACGGGGCTTTGGGTCCAGATGGGGGGGGGGGGTCCTGACCCGGAGGACAGGCCCTAACCCGGAGGGGTTTGGGGGTAACGGGGAGAAGGTGGATGCCCATGGAGCCGGCCCCGTGGGAGAAGTGAGGGAGCCCAGGAGGGAGGTGTGGATGCGCCACCTGGTGGCCAGGTGCGGAACTGCCACCCCCAACGCCCCCCAAGCCCAGAACAGGGGGAACCCCCGCTGCACGGGGAGGGGGGGGGGTACAGGGGTGCAGAGGAAGGGGCTGCGGGCCAGGCCGAGGGGTCCGGAAGGCAGAGGCGCCTCTGGTGGCTGGAGTCCGGGGGCCGGGGGGACTGTGGTTGGGAGATGTGGGGGTGCTGTGTGAGGCCACTGGGCCTGGGCAGAGGGGCCCCGGGGGAGGGGGAGTGGATCTCAGCTTCCTTCGCCCTCGTCCTGATGGAGCTGAAGACAGGAGCCCCCCAGCCCCCCGTTCACAGAGCCCCCCAGATGCTGGCGACACTGATTTTAATGGGGGGAGGGGGGCCACGGCAGGTCAGAGCAGCCGAGAGGGAGTGGTGGGGGGCGAGGGGAGGGTCCCCCAGGCTGAGGGGGGGTCTTCAGACTGGCGTTCTCCTCTGTGTCTGCTGATCCCAGTTCCGTGGACGGCACTCTGGTGGAGAGGGAGGGGGCAGAGGGGTGGGTGGTGCAGGGACAGGCAGGGGGTGTGCAGGGACAGGCAGGGGGGTGCAGGGACAGGCAGGGGGGTGCAGGGACAGGCAGGGGGGGGGTGCAGGCGTCCGGAGCCAGCGCAGCGAGTAGCCTGTGGGGACAGAGGCGGCGGCCGTCCATCCAGTGGCCTCTGTGCGGGTCACCCCGACTCCTGGGATGGGACCTCTCCCCCCAGCGCCCCCTGGGCCACATCATTGCCCCCAGGGGCTGGAAGGGGCCCCCGGGGGAGGGCAGGAGGGGGAGGGAAGGGGGGGAGGGAAGGGCCCCGGGGGAGGGCAGGAGGAGGAGGGAAGGGGCCCGGGGGATGGAAGGGGGAGGCGGGAGGGAAGGGGCTCGGCACCTCTACTGGGAGGTCGGCGACTTGGCCGCGTCGAACATCTTCTTCCGGCCCTCCATCCCCGACATGGCCTCCACATTCTTCCGCCAGTCGCCCACCTCCACCGGCCGCTCCTGCGGGGGACCCCCCCATCAGCCTCGCCCGCCACGCACGCTACTCCAAGCTGCCTCCACTGGGGACTGGGGTGTCACGGGCCCAGAGCCGCCCTCCCATCCCGCTCAGCACCCAGAGGCCACCTCCACCAAGAAGCCTTCCGCCTGCTCCACCTGGCTCCCCGTGAACCTCGGGGGCCACGGGCCATGGGGGCCACAACCACGGGCCACGGCCACGGGCCACGGCCACGGGCCACGGGCCACGGGGGCCACGGCCACGGGGGCCACGGCCACGGCCACGGGCCAGGCTCTCCTCCACGTTTCTTACCGACCCGCTCAGCTCTGGCCACGGGCGGACGCCGTGACCTCGGGCGCCAGCGGAGGGAGAGGCCTGACCCACCCGGAACCCTGTGCTCTGTGGCCGGCCGTCTCTGCCTCCGAGACAGAGGGCAGCGGCCCCTGTCACCTGACCTCCGCGCCCTCTGCTGTTTCATTCCTTTTTTATTTTTTTTTTTTAATGTTTTTGATGATTTTGTAAAGAGAGAGGGAGGGAGAGAGAGAAACGTCGACGAGAGAGAAACGTCATCGATCTGCGGCCTCCTGCACGCCCCGCCCTGGGGCTAGGGACCACATCTCCTCTCTCCCGAAACCTTCTAAGACCTTCTCCCTGGCCTCCCAGGACTGCGGTCGGCAAACCGCGGCTCTCGAGCCACAGGCGGCTCTCAGGCCCCTGGAGGGCGGCTCTTCCGCAAAACACCAGGTCCCGGGCGCGTCTGTGTGGAAGACGTGGCGTCAGAAGACGTTTGTGTTTAAAAATTGAGCTCCCCAGCTGAAACCGGTGCGGCTCAGTGGATAGAGCGTCGGCCTGCGGACGGAAGGGTCCCGGGTTCTATTCCTGTCCAGGGCATGTGCCTTGGTTGTGGGCACATCCCCAGTGGGGGGTGTGCAAGAGGCAGCTGATGGATGTTTCTCTCTCGTTGATGTTTCTAACTCTCTATCCCTCTCCCTTCCTCTCTGTAAAAAAAAAAAAAAATCAATAAAATAGATTTAAAAAATAATAATAATAATAATAATAATAATTGAGCTCCCCAGCTGAAACCAGTTTGGCTCAGTGGATAGAGCGTCAGCCTGAGGACTGAAGGGTCCCGGGTTCGATGCCTGGTCAAGGGCATGCGCCTTGGTTGCGGGCACATCCCCAGTGGGGAGCGTGCAGGAGGCAGCTGGTTGATGTTTCTCTCTCATCGATGTTTCTAGCTCTCTATCCCTCTCCCTTCCTCTCTGTGAAAAATCAATAAAATATATATATATCATATAATATACAGACTATATATAATATAATATATATAATATATAATATATATATAAAATAAATAAAAATAAAAGCGTGGCTCTCCAGAGACACGTCCGTGGCTGTGCTGCTGGTGTCCAGCCGTGTGGACGGGTGAGTCTGCCGGCCGCTGTCCGGGGCGGCTCTGGAGCGCCCCCCGGAGCGCGGGGCCGGCCGGGGCGGGCTCACCTTCTCCGTGTCCTCCTTCTTCACGGACTTGAGGTTGGCGCGCAGGTCCATGGACACCTTGTGCTTGGAGCCCAGCAGGGCCCGCAGCATGGCGTCGGCCGAGACCCGCACGCGTCTGAGCGGCGGCCGCTTGAACTTGCCGCGCAGGTCCAGCACCTTCAGCCTCAGGTCCTTGATCTGCGGGGGGCGGGGGGGGGGTCTCACTGGGCGGGCGGGGGGCCCGGGGTCCCCACGGCCCCTTCCCGGGGTCCCAGCCGGAGCCGCTGCCCCCCAGCCTCTCCGGAGCCGGCAGGACACGCAGCCCACCCCGCTCTCTTCAGAGCCTCCCGCAGGCCAAAGCCGGTGCGGCTCAGTGGGCAGAGCGTCGGCCTGCGGACGGAAGGGTCCCGGGTTCGATTCCGGTCAAGGGCATGCACCTTGGTGGCGGGCACATCCCCGGTGGGGGGCGTGCAGGAGGCGGCTGATGGATGATTCTCTCTCATCGATGTTTCTAGCTCTCTCTCCCTCTCTCTTCCTCCTCTCTGTAAAAAAATCAATAAAGAATATATTTAAAAACATTTTTTTTAATAAAAGAGCCTCGTGCGTTTGTCCATCGACGAACGGACGGGTCAGGGAGGGACAGAGCCCCGGTCTCCTGCCTCGATGGCCCGGGATGGCACCTAACTGTCCCTCCCCACCGAGCCCCAGCCGCACGCACTCCCAGCGGAGGCATCAGCCCCAGGTCCTGACCCTGAGGACAGTGCTTGGTGCCATCTCTGGGGGCCCCCGCCCCGGCCCCTCCTCCACTTTTTTTTTTTTTAATATTTTATTGATTTTTTATAAAGAGGAAGGCAGAGGGATAGTTAGAAACATCGATGAGAGAGAACCATGGACCAGCTGCCTCCTGCTCACCCCCCACCGGGGATGTGCCTGCAACCAAGGTCCATGCCCTTGACCGGAATCGAACCCGGGACCCTCCAGTCCGCAGGCCGACGCGCTATCCGCTGAGCCGCACTGGTTTCGGCCGAACCAGTTGAACCAGCACCAGAGCCGGCCCTTCCCTGCCCCGAGCAGATGCTGTCCGGCCGGCCGGTCGAGGGAGCCCTGAGGCCCGGAGGGTGTGACGGGGGCCACTCTGAACCGCAGAGTCTTCCTCTGTGCGGCGCAGGCAGCAGCCCTGACTTCACCCCCGGATGGGGAAGGGCTGGGAGGGGGGCTGGGGGAGGATCGCAGGCCCCTGGAAGCCGCTCTCAAAGGCAGGGAGTCTGTGTGCAGTCAGAGGGCGGCCCCGGGTGCCCTCTATGTCTGTGGTGTCCGCCCTCGCCAGCCTGCGGGGCCAGAGCGGGGAGGGGGCCCCAGAGGGCCCCCCGGAGCGGCCGCCTCCAGCCCCTGCCCAGCGGCGCCCCTGCCCCCCCAGACCTGCGCCCGGCCCTCCCTCCGCTCACCTCCCTGGTGTTGTGGAGGCATTTGGCCTCGATGTCGTATCTCTCCTCGTCCACCACCTCCACCTTGGCCTGCAGGTCCCGGCACAGGTCCTGGGGGGCGGGGGAGGGAGCGGGTGGGAGGGGGCTCCCCCCGCTGCCCCCCAGCCCCGGGCCCCCCCCGCCCCCTCGCTGTGCCCTGGGCCTCACCCAGCACCCCCCGGGCTCTGACGATGGATGAGGGGCGAGCCGTTCCCCGTCACAGAGCGGGGGGGCCCTGTCAGGCCGGCCCCGGGCCCCCCGTTCGTGGCGTCCCCCCCTGTCCCCCTCCCGGGGTCCCCCCCGTCCCCCTCCCCGGGGTCCCCCCGTCCCCCTCCCCGGGGTCCCCCCGTCCCCCTCCCCGGGGTCCCCCCCGCCCCCCCCGTCCCCCTCCCCGGGGTCCCCCCTCCCGTCCCCCCCGGGTCCCCCCGTCCCCCTCCCCGGGGTCCCCCCGTCCCCCTCCCCGGGTCCCCCCGTCCCCCTCCTCGGGGTCCCCCCGTCCCCCCCGGGTCCCCCCGTCCCCCTCCCCGGGGTCCCCCCGTCCCCCTCCCCGGGGTCCCCCCGTCCCCCTCCCCGGGTCCCCCCGTCCCCCTCCTCGGGGTCCCCCCGTCCCCCCCGGGTCCCCCCGTCCCCGGGCTCACCTGCAGGGCGCTGAGGGACAGGCCGCGCGTCTGCAGCGTGGGGATGCGCTCGGCCAGGTAGCGTGACTTCTCGGCCTCCCGCTCCTCCAGCTCCTGGTCCCAGCACTCCTTGGCCTTGGCCAGCATCAGGCTCTGGCGGGACAGCCCGGTGAGCAGGGGGACACGGGGAGACACGGGGGACACGGGGAGACACGGAGGGACACGGGGGGACACGGGGGACACGGGGGACACGGGGAGACACGGAGGGACACGGGGGGACACGGGGGGACACGGGGGGACACGGGGGGACACGGGGAGACACGGGGGGACACGGGGAGACACGGGGGGACACGGGGGACACGGGGGGACACGGGGAGACACGGGGGGACACGGGGAGACACGGGGAGACACGGGGAGACACGGGGGGACACGGGGAGACACGGGGGGACACGGAGGACACGGGGAGACACGGGGAGACACAGGGGCCGGGCCCTCCAGCTCCTGGTCCCAGCCCTCCTTGGCCTTGGCCAGCATCAGGCTCTGGCGGGACAGCCCGGTGAGCGGGGGGACACGGGGGACACGGGGGGACACGGGGAGACACGGAGGGACACGGGGGGACACGGGGGACACGGGGAGACACGGGGGGACACGGGGGGACACGGGGGGACACGGGGGGACACGGGGGGACACGGAGGACACGGGGAGACACGGGGAGACACGGGGAGACACGGGGGGACACGGGGAGACACGGGGGGACACGGGGAGACACGGGGAGACACGGGGGGACACGGGGAGACACGGGGGGACACGGGGGGACACGGGGGGACACAGGGGCCGGGCCCTCCAGCTCCTGGTCCCAGCACTCCTTGGCCTTGGCCAGCATCAGGCTCTGGCGGGACAGCCCGGTGAGCGGGGGACACGGGGGACACGGGGGGACACGGGAGACACGGAGGGACACGGGGGGACACGGGGGACACGGGGAGACACGGGGGGACACGGGGGGACACGGGGAGACATGGGGAGACATGGGGAGACCGGGCCCTCCAGCTCCTGGTCCCAGCACTCCTTGGCCTTGGCCAGCATCAGGCTCTGGCGGGACAGCCCGGTGAGCAGGGGGACACGGGGGAGACACGGGGAGACACGGGGAGACACGGGGGGACATGGGGGACACGGGTGGGCCGGGCCCTCCAGCTCCCACCAGCGTCGGGCCTGAGGGAGGGATACCGCAGGTCGGCCGGCTCTGGCCTCCGAGGGCCCTGGGGGCTCTGTGTCCTCACGCCCTGGACAGCGTGAGCGGACGTGTGGGCGGGCGTGTGGGAGGCATGTGGGAGGCGTGTGGGAGGCGTGTGGGAGGTGTGTGGGCGGACGTGTGGGCGGGCATGGGGGGGTGTGTGGGAGGCATGTGGGAGGTGTGTGGGAGGCGTGTGGGGGGCGTGTGGGGGCATGTGGGAGGCGTGTGGGGGCGTGTGGCGGGCGTGTGGCGGGCGTGTGGGAGGCGTGTGGGGGCGTGTGGGAGGCGTGTGGGAGGCATGTGGCGGGCGGGCGCTGGCCGTCCCTCTGCGGGAGGGTGACCCCGCACCCAGGCCCCTCCACTTCCTCCCTGTTCGCCCGAAGCTCCAGAGAGAGGGAGGCTTGTGTCAGAACGAGCCCCGCCCGCCCACCGCCTGGCTCCGGGGCTGAGCGCGACCTAGGAGCCAGGAGGTCAGGCCCCCCCCCCCCGGCTCACCTTCAGCATGAGCTTGCGGGAGGCGGTGATCTTGGATTTCCTCTGGGGGTGAGGAGGGGAGGGACAGGGGAGGAGGGGAGAGACAGGGGAGGAGGGGAGGGACGGGGGGGAGGAGGGGAGGGATGGGGGGAGGAGGGGAGAGACAGGGGAGGAGGGGAGGGACGGGGGGAGGAGGGGAGGGACAGGGGAGGAGGGGAGGGACGGGGGAGGAGGGGAGGGACGGGGGAGGAGGGGAGGGACAGGGGAGGAGGGGAGGGACGGGGGGAGGAGGGGAGGGACGGGGGGAGGTAGGACGGGGGAGGAGGGGAGGGACGGGGGGAGGGGGGGAGGACGGGGGGGAGGAGGGGAGGGAACGGGGGGAGGAGGGGAGGGACGGGGGAGGAGGGGAGGGACAGGGGGAGGAGGGGAGGGACGGGGTGAGGAGGGGAGAGATGAGTGAGGCGGAGTTGCAGAGTCGAAGATCGAGGATCGAGGCCCGGCCGGGGGGGGGGGGGGGGCGGCCAGGGTCACGGTCGCTCGGGCCCCTCCTGAGCTCCCCGAGGGGGTTTGCCAGAATCCTCAGATCCAGGGAGGGCGGCAGGGAGCCCTCACTTCCTGGAGGCCCTGGGGGCCCGCCCCCTCCCCTGCAGGTGGGGGGTGCTGAGGACCCCCCCCCCCAGTCCAGGGTGATTACAGACAAATCAGGATGGTGGCCCGGCCTGCCTGGCTCAGTGTTTGAGCGTCGACCTGTGAGCCAGGAGGTCAGGGTTCGAGTCCCGCTCAGTGCACAGGCCCGGGGTGTGGGCTCCATCCCCAGTGGGGGGCGTGCGGGAGGCAGCCGGTCCGTGGTTCTCTCTCATCAGGGATGTTTCTTTCTCTCTCCTTCTCCCTTCCTCTCTGACATCAATAAAAATCTTTAAAAAAAAACTCACTCACCTCACTGCGGGCATCCGGACGGTGAGGACGAGGAGAAGGCGGAGGACGGAGGAGGCAGAGGACGGAGGAGGAGGAGGAGGAGGAGGAGGAGGAGAAGGAGGAGGAGGAGGAGGAGGGAGGAGGAGGAGGAGGAGAAGGAGGAGGAGGAGGAGGGGAGGGGGAGGAGGGGGAGGAGGGGGAGGGAGGGGGGAGGAGGGAGGGGGAGGAGGAGGAGGGGGAAAGAGGAGGGAGGAGGAGGAGGAGGAGGAAAGAGGAGGGAGGAGGAGGAGGTGGAGGAGGAGGAGGAGGAGGGAGGAGGCGGAGGAGGAGGATGAGGAGGAGGAGAGGAGGAGGAGGAGGAGGAGGAGGAGGAGGAGGAGGAGGAGGAGGAGGAGGAGGAGGAGGAGGAGGAGGAAGGAGGAGGAGAGGAGGAGGAGGAGGAGGGAGGAGGAGGAGGAGGAGGGAGAACGGGACAAGAGGTTATTCTCGAGGCCACAGCACCGGGGGGGGGGGCAGGGTGTGGGCGGGGAGGGGTGGTGACCCGGGGCCGGTGGAGGGTCCCAGCAGGACAGACCAGGATCCCGCGGCCTCTGGGATCCGGGAGGCGCTGGGGGGTCCCCGGTTGTGGGGGCGAAGGGGGGAGTCAGGGACGCGGGACGTGGGGTCCTGCCCTGAGAGGCATTGAGTCAGGGCCTGGCGGACGCCCCGACTCCAGAACGGGCCACCCGGGCTGTGGGCTCCGCTCAGACCCAGGAGGTCTGGGGCCACCGGGACCCGACACTCAGGGCCGCTCCTGTTTGAGGACCAGCCTCCGAGGAGCTGCTGGGGGCGGGGGACTGGTGGAACCCCACTCCAGGGCTGGTTTTGCCCCAGAGGGACCTGCCCCCCACACCCCTCCCTGCACACACACACACACACGCATACACACACGTGCACACACATATACACGTACTCACATACACACGCATACATGCATGCATGCACACATGCATGCACACACGCATACGCACGTGCGCGCGCACACACGTGCTCACGTACACGCGTATGCACGCACATACATACACAATACACACATACACATGCGTACTCACATACACACATGTACACACATACATGCACACATGCACATGCGTACTCACATACACACATGTGCATGCACACATACATACACACACGCACACACGTGCTCACGTACACACGCATACACGCACATACATACACACATGCACACATACACACGCGTGCTCACATGTACACACATACACACATACATGCGTACTCACATACACACATGTGCATACACACATGCATACACACGCGCGCACACACGCACATGCACACGGGGGGTACTCACACTTCCGGCATGGCTGCGGGCGGAGGTGGCGGGCAGCACCTGGGGGCAGAGAGCCTGGGTGAGGGCGGGCACAGCTCCGTCCCCAGCCCCGGGGGCGCGGGGGGCGGGGCAGACAGCGGGAAGGAGAGACCGGGCAGCGTGGGTCCCGCTGGGTCCAGGTGGGACGGCTCGGCTCAGAGGCTGAGCATCGACCGCCCTGCGAGCCACGAGGGCCCCGTGGGTCCCATCAGGGGGCGTGCCGGGGGGGGGTCTGCTCGAACCCTGCACCCTGCCCGGGGCGGGGCCACCTCCCCCGAGTCTCCCATGGGACCCCTCTGGCCCCAGCCCTGCCTCTGCTCTGCGGGGGGATGGGGTGCAGCCTGGGGGATCGGAGGGGGGGGGTGACCCCGAGTCACAGCTGTCACCCTGGCCTGCGTTCCCGGGATGCTTGGCTGGCACCGGATGCTGCCGCCAGCTGCCTGCTTTCCGGGTTCCCTCTGCCCTGCCTGCCCGCCTCCCCCGTGTCCCCCCAGAGACTGAGAGTCCAGGAGGAAACACCAGCCGGGGCAGGCACACCCGTCCCTGGGCCCAGCATACCCCCCTCCCCCCAGTGCCCAGGCCCAGGCCCCCCGCCCGGCCCAGCATACCCCCTCCCCCCCAACGCCCAGGCCCAGGCCCCGGCCCAGCCCAGCATACCCCCCTCCCCCCAGTGCCCAGGCCCAGGCCCCGGCCCAGCCCAGCCTCCTCCTCCGTCTCCCCCACCCCAGGTGGGCGTGTGGCTGCGCTCGGCCGGCCCCCGGAGCCCCTGTCAGCGCCGAGGGGCCGCGCCCGCTGACGGAGGCCAGGCCTGGGCTGCCGTTCCCAGCAGACGGGACCCCTGACAGGCGGGCGATAAGGAGGCCGGAGGCAGATAGCGGAGGATGGGAAGGGGCGGGCGCATTCCTGTGTCCCCCTCCCGGCCCCTCCCACCCGCCAGCGACCCGCAGGGAGCGGGAGGGAGGAGAATGTCGGACTGAGAGTGTTGAGTCGTGAGTCGTGACGTGTGATGGTGTTTATGTGTGTGCAGTGTTGTGTGTTGAGTGTGTGTGAGTGGATGTTGGTGTTGAGTGTGTGTGTGAGTGGGTTTGAGTGGTGTGGAGTGTGAGTGGAGTGTGTGTGAGTGGTGTGGTTGTGATGTGGAGTGTGAGTGTTGAGTGGGTGTGAGTGTGAGTGTGGTGTGAGTGGGTGTGAGGGTGTGAGTGGGTGTGAGTGTGAGTGTGAGTGGGTGTGTGGTGTGAGTGAGTGTGAGTGTGTGTGAGTGTGAGTGGGTGTGAGTGGGTGTGAGTGTGAGTGTGAGTGGGTGTGAGTGTGAGTGGGTGTGGGTGTGAGTGGGTGTGAGTGGGTGTGAGTGGGTGTGAGTGTGAGTGTGAGTGGGTGTGAGTGTGTGAGTGTGTGAGTGTGAGTGGGTGTGTGTGTGAGTGTGAGTGTGTGTGAGTGTGTGAGTGTGAGTGGGTGTGAGTGTGAGTGTGAGTGGGTGTGAGTGTGAGTGTGAGTGGGTGTGAGTGTGAGTGGGTGTGAGTGTGCGTGTGTGAGTGTGTGAGTGGGTGTGCAGGGCGAGGACCAGGAACACACATCTCTCGTCAGGTCCCTGATCTTTCTCCCGTTCCCACCCCTGTCCTTGGCGCCGGTTCAAGGGCGTCAGGTCCTCCCTCCCTGCAGGGCCCTGAGCTGGCACTGCACCCCGTGGCCGAGGGGCCAGCCCCCAACTCTGCACGAGGAGCCCCACCTCAGAACGTGCCCGGCCGCGTGGCTCAGTGGTGAGCGTCCCCCTGGGAGCCAGGAGGCCAGGGTTCGATGCCCGGTCAGGGCACAGGCCCGGGCTGCGGGCTCCATCCCCAGGGTGGGGCGGGCGGGAGGCGGCCGCTCCCTGGTTCTCTCTCCTCAGGGATGTTTCTATCTCTCCCTCCCCCTCTGGGACCGATAAAAAAATTTTTTTTTTTAAAACTGTCTCCAAACCCTGGCGGGAGGTGCTGCCTGGAGCCCCCGAGGCAGACAGAGCCGCCCCCCCCCAACGGGGACCCAGAGACGGAGCCCGAGCACAGGCTCCAGCTTCAGCCCTCAGTGCGGGCGCCGCCTCCCCCTCCTCAGCGGTGCCCAGGCCTGGCACTCCGCCCTCGCCCGCTCTGCTCCTGCCTCCTCGGGCACGGGGGCGAAGCCTGTCCCCCGAGACAGACAAGGAGGCCGGGGGCTCGGGGTCCAGTCTCCCAGGCTCCCCGAGTCCCGCTCAGCCCCCCTCCTTCTCCGTCCACTGCCCACCCAGCTCCCCCCAGCTCCCCCCGCAGCCCAGCCCCCTCCTGCCCCTGATCCCCAGTGCCCCCTCCCCACGGTGCCCCGCCCTCCGGGCACTGCTGGGGGCCCCTGAGCAGGCAGAGCACGGCTGCGCCCTGGGTTCGGGGGTTCGCCTTGTAGAAAGCCTCCATGGGCGAGGGGGGATGTGGGGGGACCCCGGCGGCTCCCCAACAGCTGCCCCATCGAGGAACCCCTTCTTCCCTCTCCCAGCCTCTGTCCCCCGGCCGCCCCGCCCTCCCCCTCAGCCCGGGTTCTGGGTCTGGGCTTGGCCTGGATCTGGCCAGAACCGGCCGGACGCTCACCTGGGTCAGCGTCCGTCAGTCTGTCTGTCCCGGAGTCGGAGGCAGACTGAGGGGGCGGCACGGAGGGAGGCTATGAAGTGGCCGGCCCTCAGCAACTGGCCGGTAAAAATAGACCAGGCCCGGCCCCTCCCCCTCTCGCCGCCCCCTCCCCCCAACACCTCCCGGGGGAGACACACACACACACACATGCACGCTGCACACAGCAGGCCCTGGGCTTGCAGCTGTGTGTGTGTGTATGTGGGGGGGTTGGGGGTTCAGAGGGCACTCACACTCTGTGCACACAGAGGTCCCCCCCACCCAGGAACCCCAGAACCACCCAGGGAGCCGGAGTCAGAGGGGAGAGAATGGACAGGCCGCGGAGGGGGGAGCAGGGATGGGACCCCGTGGGGCACAGGGCTGGAGCCGGGACTCTCTTTCCTTTTCTTAAAAATATATTTCACTGATTTTTCACAGGAGGAAGGAAGAGGGAGAGAGCGTTAGAAACACCGGTGAGAGAGAAACATCCAGCAGCTGCCTCCTGCACGCCCCCCACTGGGGACGTGCCCGCCACCGAGGCGCATGCCCCCGACCACAATCGAACCCGGGATCCCCAGTCCGTAAGCCCACGCTCTGTCCACCGAGCCACACCGGTTTCAGCATGTTTTTTCTTTTCGTGGATGCCAGAGAGGAAGGGAGAGGGGGAGAGAGCGAAGCATCCGCGATGAGAGCGAACCGGGGACCGGCCGCCTCCTGCACACCCTCCCTCCCCTGAACCCCGGGTCCGGGGGCCCACGCTGAACCCCTGGGCCACCGTGGCCGGTCGGGCGCCCCTCCATCTCTCACAGGGAACAGGAAACGTGGGCGTCAGGCCCCGAGCCCACGTCTTTTGGGGGCCCCGGCGGCGCAGGAGGCGTGCAGGCCGACCAGGCCAGTGTCTGGGCGGAGCGGGCGTGGCCGGGGGAGCCTGAGGGTCTGCAGCCCCCGGCGCCCCCTCCAGGGGGGCCTCCGGGAATGGAGGCTCCCCCGGGGCCTGGACCCCCTCAGGGAGCCGGTCTCCCCCGCCCCCTCCCGCGCCCCTGTGTCCCCGGCCTGCGCCCACAGGTCTGCACCTGTCCGGGGGTATTTTTAGGGTGGCCGGTCCCCAGCCCACGGTCAGAGAAAGACAATGCCCGCTATGTTAATCCCAGGCTATTATTGTCGGCCGGGCCGGGCGGGGCCGGGCAGCGGGCGCTGGCCCCTCGGAGGTGGGGAGAGGCCTGGCAGGCAGCAGGAGGAGGGGGCGCTCCCTGTTGGGGGGCGGGGAGAGCCCAGGACAGGTGTCCTAAGAAGGGGCACCCCTCTCGCCCCCCTGGGGGTGACGTCCCGCCCGCTCTCTGGGCCGTCCCCCTGGGGCCAGCGAGTGACCTTGTGGTTCTGGGAGGCAGCCGGGGCGAGGACAGGGGCCAGACGTCACGGGGGCAGAGCGGGGGCCACTGGGCACAGGGATGGAACACGAAGGCACAGCCAGGGAGCAGCTGGGGTCAGAGAAGGGATGGGGGGCGGGGGCACGTCCCACCCCGGGGATCGAGCCTGCAGCCCGGGCCTGTGCCCCGACCGGGAATCGAACCCTGAACCTCCTGGTTCACAAGTTGATGCTGAACCACTGAGCCACGCCCACCGGGCTCTTTGAGAAGGAACGATGGAGCCGAAGCCGGTGTGGCTCAGTGGATAGAGCGTCGGCCTGCAGACGGAAGGGTCCCGGGTTCGATTCCGGTCAAGGGCTTGGACCTTGGTTGCGGACGCATCCCCAGTAGGGGGCGTGCAGGAGGCGGCTGATGGGTGTTTCTCTCTCTTCGACGTTTCTAGCTCTCTATCCTTCTCCCTTCCTCTCTGTAAAATAGGGGTGTCGAACTCAATCAGAGAAGGGGCCAAAATCTAAAATCCAGCCTAAATCACGGGCCAAATGGTTTACTGAACAGTCATAAACTGTCATTGTGATGGAAACGCAGCGGAGTGCAGTGATGGACAGCACGGTGCGGGCCACATGGCAAGGCCTGGCGGGACGGATTTGGCCCGCGGGCCTTGTGTTTGACACATGTGCTGTAAAAAATCAATAAAATATTTTTTTAAGAAAAGGGAGGATGGAGAGAGCAGGCTGACTGATACAGGACAATAGGGAGGGGGTCAAAGCCCCCAAACCACGGGGTGCATGTGTGCGCCCAGCAGGCCGTCTGCTCGGGGAGTCTCGGGGAGTCCCAGCCTCTGAGGGTCTCGGGGTGATCGCCCCCTGGGCCTCTGCAGGGGCTGTGTGGGGCTGGAGTCCCTCCCGGACGTGGGGAGCCATGGGGCAGGTAGGGAGTGTCTGGCCGGGGGAGCTAGGCCCCATGAGGCCGTGGGTGTGGACAGAGGCCCTCGTCCCCCCCTCCCCCCCTCCCCGCACCTGTCCGCCCAGCTGCCAGGCATAGTCTGGGGAGCCAGGAGCCCGAATTAGCCAGTGACCAGGCCTTCTGGGGCCTCTCCCACCACCCGCCCGCCCCCCGCTGCCCGGCCCAGCCTCCGTGACAGCCAGCCACAGCCCCCACCTGCTCCGTCACCCCCACTGCAGCCCCACCCTCTCCGGGGCCAGGATTCCTGGGCTGATTGCTGAGCCCGGCCAGGCAGAGCAGAGGGAACGCAGACCCCAAACGCCTGTGGCACAGAGACACTGGGGTCCCCACCCACCAGGAGCCCCGGATCCGAGATCTTCCCCAGCCTGTTTCCATTTCCCCCCGGGAACCCAGGTGCAGGTCCGGGCTGAGCAGCTGCTGTGAGCTCAGCTGAGCTGAGACCCGGCCGGCGTGGCTCAGTGGTTGAGCCTCAACCTAGGAACCAGGAGGTCAGGGTTCGATCCCGGGTCAGGGCACAGGTCCGGGTTGCGGGCTCCGTCCCGGTGTGGGGCCTGCAGGAGGCAGCCGGTCCGTGATTCTCTCTCATCATGGATTTCTCCCTCTCTCTCCCCCTCTCCCTTCCTCTCTGAAATCAATAAAATATACATATATATATTTTTAAACAGTAAGCCATGCTCTGCATTGCTGACTCTCTGTACAGCTTAGTTTTAAGTGGTTTGGCTTCATAAACAGGCGGTACCAGGTGTGCCGGTGAATACTGCAGATTTTTTTTTCCTCTCAATCAACGGAGTCACATGTATGTTGATAGATATGTGATTTGATGTGTATGCTGTTTTGTTGTATTGACAACAAGCTTCAAAACGTAAAATTTGCTAGAGGGGGTTAACATCATAGATATTTTTACACTTAAAATAAATGTCGAATTTCGTGCCAAAAAAAAAAGAGCATTTTCAGGAAGTTTTAGTTCATTACTTTATTTTGGAGAAAAAGTTATACTTCGGGAAGCTTATAGTAAACACGCTCCTTCTCAAGATACGTGCGAGCGCTGGTCTAAATGCTTTAAAAGGGATGTTTCGATGCAAAGAGCACCCAGGTCCACCACAAAGGTTTGAAGACCAACCGTGACCAGCATTACTGGATGAAGATGCGTGTCAAACTCAAAAACAACTTGCAGAGAGATTCAACGTTGCTCAGCAAACAATTCCTGATCGTCTACAAGCAACGGGAAGGATTTTAAAGGAAGGAAAATGGGTGCCACATCCACTGAAGGAAGGACAAATGGAAAACCAAAAAGTCATCAGTAAAATGGTGCTTCAACGGCACCAAGGAAAGTCTTTTTGGCACCGAATTGTGCCTGGCGATGAAAGTGGATTTATTCTGAGAATCCCAAACGCACAGAATCACGGGTTGATCCAGGTCAACCATCAACATGGACTGCCAGGCCCAATCGCTTGGGAAAGAAGACAGTGCTCTGCGTCAGGCGGGATCGGGAAGGTGTGGCGCATTATGAGCTTCTCAGACCAGGTGAAACCATTAATACTGATTGCTACCAACAAATAATCCATTTGAACCACGTTTTGATCGTGAAATCACCAGAATGGCCAGCAGACACAGCAAAGTAATCTTGCTTCATGATGACGCACCATCACACACTTCCAAACCAGCCAAAGACGCGGGAAAAGACCTTGCCTGGAAGTGTGAACCCACCCGCCCTGTGCACCAGCCCTCGCCCCTTCAGGCGGCCCCTTGTCCGGTCGACGGCGCACGCACTGTCTGAGCAGCCCCTCAACACGTACGAAGGAGTGGGAAATGGGGTCTCAGATTGGTCTGTCTCAAAACAAGAAAAGTTCTATTGGGACGGTACCCGCAAATTCCCTGAAAGATGGGGGAAATGCGTAGCTAGCGATGGACGTTGCTTTGAGCAAAGCATGCTTGATGTTTCTCTTGAATTTGTCGTGTTTTCTTTGATGGCAAAATTCCCATTATTAACCGGTAAATGGTCAATCCGAATTACTAACCGGTATCCGCATTTTTAGCTGGTACACCTGGCGCTAGCACCTGAAGGAGGGGGCCTGGGCGGGGCCAGAAGGAGCCTGGGCGGGGTCTGGGGAGGCCTGGGCGGGGCCAGGAGGGGGTCTGGGCGGGGCCAGGAGGGGCCTGGGCGGGGCCATAAGGAGCCTGGGCAGGGTCTGGGGAGGCCTGGGCGGGGCCAGGAGGGGTCTGGGCGGGGCCATGAGGCGTGGGCGTGGCCATGGAGGGGTGGGCGGGGCCAGGGCGGGTGAGTGGCAGCTCGCAGGGCCAGGGGAGGGCAGGCAGGCTCAGGGCTGGGGCGGCCTGGCCTTCAGCTGGTGCGTTTCTCACACCCCCGCCTTCAGAGCCACCCCACCCCACCCCACCGCACCCTCTGCCTTCCTCCCACACCCTCTGCGCTGCCCAAACCTGTTGCCTCCCGGAGCCTGAAGCTACGGGCCCTCACCCCACCCGCCCATGGGAGCCCTTCCCCCCAATCCGGGCTGGGGGGGGCGGGGGGCGGCCCCCTGGCTCCCAGGTCCCCTGGCTGCACACTGAGCCCTCCGCACTCCCAAGGGCCTGGGGCCGGGTCTCCGCAGGTCCCTGCAGCCCAGGCTGCCTGTCCACAAACCCATAACCAGCAGGCGGGGTTTGGGGCTGGACCCGGGCGGGCAGGGCTG